CAGCACTTTCTGTAAAGGCGGATTCACACCGGGGATAGCAGTCGCGCGATCCAGCTAAATCGCATCGCAAAAAAAAAAAAAGAAAAAAAAAAAGTAATTAGTTGGTCAATTTGGCGTGCGCGATGAGCGAGTCCAATGCCTTCGTTGGCGAGTCACGTCTCAAAAACTCTCGCTCCGAACGCCGTTGGTTGGCTCGGCCTCTCCGCGACTAGAGTGCATCGCAAAACGTCGGGTCAGCAAGCGACTGCTCAAAACCCGTCACTTTTTGCCCGCGATGGTCGCTTTTGCAATGAAAGTTATGGCGCGACTAGATCGCATCGCCGGTGTGAACGCGCCATAATGTCGAACCAGTCTCACGGCGCGTCCCGATATTGGCTTGTGTACCTACGCGCGAGTAAAACATCTGGCACAATTTGCGTTTGCAAAGCCTGCTCCAGCCGCGTCAAAACATTCAGCCAACCTTTGAACTGCAGAAATCAAGAGACAACCAAAATAAGATAAAGTTGCCAGCCGAATAAAACTTGATTTCTATTTAATTAAGATGAAGACCACCCGCGTACATCAAATACCTCATCAGCCGAACTCCAAGGCAGTAAGCCTAGTTCTGGCACTTGTTTGGCACCTTTTGCCCGTCGCTGCCAGATCACAGCCAAACTATCGGGAAGCGAAGCCTAACTTGGGCACTCGCTTGGCGACTTGGGCCCAAATATGCCAGATCTCAACCGAACTACAAGGTAGTAAGCCTAACTCTGGCACATTTGTGGCGATTTTGGCCCGAATGTGCTAGTTGACAGCCGAACTGTCAAAAAGTGAAGCCTAACTTTGGCATTAGTTTGGCGATTTTGGCCCGAAAATGCCAAAGCTTTGCCGAACTACAAGGTAGTAAGCCTAACTCTGGCACATCTGTGGCGATTTTGGCCCGAATGTGCCTGGTGACTGCCGAACTGTCAAAAAAGTGAAGCCTAACTTTGGCATTAGTTTGGCGATTTTGGCCCAAAAATGCCAAAGCTCTGCCGAACTACAAGGTAGTAAGCCTAACTCTGGCACATCTGTGGCGATTTTGGCCCGAATGTGCCAGGTGATAGCCGAACTATCAAAAAGTGAAGCCTAACTTTGGCATTAGTTTGGCGATTTTGGCCCAAAAATGCCAAAGATCTGCCGAACTAACGGGCAGTAACCCTAAATTTGGCATTTGTTAGGCGATTTAGGCCCGAAGATGCCAGATAATAACCGAACTGCCCGGGAGCGAAGCCTAAGTTTGGCACTTGTTTGGCGAATTAGGGCCAAGATACCCAGACTGTTGCCAAGGGAGGTCAGGTTTGGCACTACTTTGGCTTCTTCGGGCTTTTTAATGCCCTAAACTGCCAGACGCAAGCCAAGTTTTGGCCCAGAACTCGGTGCTGCCTGGGGTTACTTGTTAGTTTGGTAAAATGTAACGCGTTATCGAGCTACGTTACAATTTTACAAACGTAACGATATACCCTTACCGTTACTTTTCAAAAATAACTAACGTTACTTTTACGTTACTTTTCTGTTCGAGTACCTATGTTTGGCAGAGATGTATGATAAGCCTCCTTAACAAGCTTGGATAAAGTTAAAATTTACAGAGTGGTTCCATAGTGGTTTGATGCGCGAAGCAGCTTAATTTTCGGCATGCAGATTAGGCATTGAAACGGTAAATTACTCGATTCTGTCTCCTTTAGTTAATACATTTCATTCAGACCTGCTGGCCATGGCGAAGGACTTTCGTTATTCATGTCCATCTCACACACAGAATGAGTCGGAGATGTTAGTCAATCAGCTTTTATAAACTACAGCATGCGAGCGAGGACTGCTGGAACACAACCAGCCAACCAACACCCCTCATCTGTACGCCGGTTTTAGTAACAGTCCGGTTCATACTATTACCAGAGACTGGTCAGTTACTTCACTATCTGGAACAAGACACCGGTTACCTTCTGCTGCACAAAGCAGGGGGGGGGGGGAGATGAGGGAGGGGAGGAGGCTGTAACGCTGTCGTTCGTTCAAGCCTTGTGGGTAGTGACACAATGAAAAAAAAAATATATATATAAATTAAAAGGAGGATGAACGGAATTAGCTGGTAGCTGAAGGTTTTTTTTCGGCTTCGAGAAGTGAGTTTTTTTTTTTTTTAACTTTACTGTGACGGATGCTGGTTCCGTGCAGCGATAAGCTGATTTTGAGATAAGCTCGTGGAGGATTTCACCAGTTTTGGTCAAAAGTAACGAGTAACGAAATTTGACAGCCGATACCGTAAAAAAGTAACGGAAATACTTTACTCGTTAGTCATTGAGAATACTAACGAGTACGTCACTGCGTTAGCAAAAAATGTAACGCGTTACCAGTAACGTCGTTACTAGTGACGCGTTACCTCCAACACTGGTTCGATGTGATTCTGCTGTTTTGAACACATATAGACCAAAAAATGAGCGCGGAAATTTCGTTGTAGTATCCCTTTAACATGCCTGTCATGCCGCTTTGGAAACAACAGTGAAGAGGAATTTTTGTTTCACTTGCGCGAGGCGGTGCATCGTCGATCCTGACCTTCGCTTCGACCGTCAATAGTCCCTAAAACTGTTTTAGCGTTTTTTTTTTATTAAAAATTTCATAAGCTGCAAAACAGTTGGTTTTATTCTATAGCATGCCGCTTTCGTACGCTTCGAAGTTATCGCGTGGTAGCAGTGCAAAATATTTATTTTCAGCATGTGGTGCTAACCGGCATTGCAAACCCGCTTTTGGTGGTATGATTGCCTTTAAGGAAAAATGTGTGACTCAATAAGCGTCATTGTTTCTTTAAGTCATCGGGCCTTTTCACGCCAGCGTCTGTCTTGTTCGCCGTGAAATCGCTATAACTACTTGCTACATGGTCTGGAGCATGCCGCTCGCCAGTCAGGCAGCCTCCTAGATAATAAAGGCAAAAAAAAAAAAAAAATTGGGTGTAAGAAGTTTGATTCCACTCTCTTCAAAACCACTGCGAAATAAAGCAGATTGCTCAAGACTTTCTCGCATGCATTAGAGAACGTACACTCGATGCGTTTCAGTTGTCTGTTCCTCCTTTAAACAGCGCTCCCTCCTGCCGTTATTTGCAGGTCTGTGAGCTACATTTCAAGAAAGAGTACCTGAGGACTACCACTTCGTGTACTGACTCGGATGGAAGAACTATAGAAGCTCCCATGAGCCTTACACGGTTGACACCAGATGCAGTGCCCACAATATTTCCCAATGGCCCTGCTTACTTGTCTGACTGTGCGCCAGTTCGAGGAAAGCCGGAAGCCAAGAGGGAGCGTGTTTAGGCAACGCGTCTACAAGAAGCCATCCAGCTCTCACTATCAGCACACAAGGAAGAGGAGCAAAAGAACAGAGTGTCGTCCTAGGACCAGTTCCTTTCACGGCTTCCAGATCTTCACGTCGCCGACTTCTGGCTGATACAGAAAGCCAAATCGGCGGTTCTGTTTGTGCACATAGATGACAGCATGGGACACCGGGAAGTCGAACGCTCCATCGTTGTTACGGACACCATGAAAGTGACTGCCTCTTGGCGACGAGTGAGGTTGTGCTTTGATGAAGTCGCCATTCTCGAGACATTGGACGACATGCGACAACTTCAATGTGTTCTAGACAGAGTGCAAGAGTTCAAAGCCCCAGACGTGTGCGAAAAAGACGAAAAACTGAAAGCTTGCGTCGAGTTACTTTTTTCGCTTCTGGATGACCTCGCAAGCAACGAACTTATGCCACAAGAGAAAACGGAAGCGCTCTCATTTTTGATGGAGCAACTGCACCTGCTGCTTAAAGGAACAGCTTTCAGGTATTCTACTGAACTTCTCGTATTCTCAAGCTTATTTTACACTATTTCGCCTCATGCATACAAATTTCGTAGGAGTGGGAAGCTAACATATCCTGACAGGTTGACAGTAATGAAGCTTTGCAGCAGATACAACGCAACCCCAGCAAATGAGCAGGATGATGAAGGATTCCTGCGTTACATAAAGAAGAGGACAGGCCTCCTAAAGCCACACGAAAAAGTAGTAACATGAATGATGAATGAAATCCACATTCAAGAATATTTTGAGCACTAAGGAGGCTCTCTTGCCGGAACCGCATCAAACACTTCCGAAGCTGCGAAAACTGCGCAAATCTTCATGACCCAGTCCTTACTTTCAGCGCACAAAGATGTGGTCCACATTTTGCCAGTCTCTAGGATTTATGCGAGCCGGTTGCACGAACTCTACAAAACGTTATTCTGGGACTTGAGGAAGCGGGGCTCACTGTGATTGCGGTGATCACTGACAATAATGCTATTAACAAAAAGGTGATGTCCTTGTTCTCAAAAAAGAAGACGCTAGATATAGCGTACCCACATCCAGCAGATGGCTCACGACCATTGTTGTACATTGTAGACACTGTACACCTGTTGAAGTGTATCAGGAACAACTTGATCAATTAAAAAAAATCCGGACACCTGCATTTTCTATTTAGAGTTCTGAAGCACTAAGTCGCAGGTGGAGATAAGAGGAGCCTCTTTTAAGACGCTTCGTGATCTGCATGCTTCTGAGCAACAAGATTTGTCTAAATTTGGCTATGGGCTGACGCCCAAGCGTTGCATCCATCGAACATTGAACGCCAGAATGTAAAACTTGCCCTAAAGGTGATGAGTCCATTCGTTGCGGAAGCCCTCAGAACACGTGGAAGTCAACTTGGCTTGCCGTATGCTTCAGAAACCGCAGACTTAATTGAGGTGGTACATCGGTGGTGGAGCATTTTCAATGTGTAAACTCCTTGCAAGGGCAGGCGCCTTCGGGATCCCAATCAAGAACCAGTAAGAGCTTTGACAGACATGCAGTTGGAGTTCGTTCCTCAATGCTTTCTGAACTGGCTTGACATATGGGGCAGTGTCAAAATGGATACTGGGACGGCGCTTCGACTGACATCGTACTCACTTGTTGAAGTCACGAGGTACTGCCTTGAGGAGCTAAACTTTGAGTATGTTTCACTAGGCAAATTCCAGACGGACAGTCTAGAGGACAGGTTTGGTTGCTATCGTCGCCTCTCTGGGACCAATTACCACATCTCGGTCCAGCAGATATTCAGTCCGAGACAAAACTGAGGCTTCGGGACTCGCTGGTTTTCCCAGACATGCAAGAATTGTGCAAGCCATCCGGTGTGACATGTGATGCAGACAAACTGATGAAAGACTACAACATCAAAATAAGAGAAAATGACTTAAAAGAAAAAGAACCCAGTTTGCCAGCTATAACATACATAGCAGGCTTTTGTGCGCATGCAGCGCTCAAGAAAACACCGTGTGCGGAATGTGCGCTGAACCTCGTAACGGAGGAAAGGGAACTGCAACTGGACAGGAACATTCTCATCGAAAACCTCACGAGAGGTGGCCTCAAGTTTCTTCAGTCGGTTGTCGTCAACGCTGTTTTGCACACGCAGCTTGTGCTAGAAAAATTCGCATTAAAAGAAAATGCCACACGCTTTTATGCTGAAGGCAACCAAAGAGAGGCTCTTCTAAGTTTGTCAAGGCACCTGCTTTTGGACAACGAAGACCTAGACATTTGCAACGATGGGCACCACCCTGACACAGTGCTTAGCAACATCCTGCGGGCAGCCACCAACGCATTACTTAAGAACTTTGTGCAAATGAAGACTGACCAGTTGAGGTCTAGAAAAGCTGCAGTGCATCTGAAGAAATTGCAAACTCTGAAGTGATTCAGTGCACGCGCAGGGACAAAAATAAAGACGTGCGTTACGAAATGTATGTTGTATCACTGTTTAATCTTTATGCCACAGAAAGTTGCCCCTGCCAGATGGCTAGGATGAGAGAAAGCACACTGAAGGTAAGTTACGAGACACCGTGTCTCCAGGCTTCAATTACCATTAAAAACTATTTTTATGCTCTGTAAACTAGTCAAGGCTTCTAAACTAAACGAAAAAAATGCGAAAAAAAAATTGACGCAAACTACATAATTCCTTTTATTTTTTTACGCGTTTTAGCCGACGGCAGCAGCCGCTTTCCCAAACACTCGGTCAAAGTACGTGACGTCACGGATGGGGGGGGGGGCGTGAAAAAGCTGCGAGGGAAGTGCTTAAAGCGCTTGCTATAAAGAAAGAGGGCGCTAAAGGCTACGTCAGAACGCCGTCAAGTTTTCTCCATCAAAAATAGAGTGATTTTATTGAGGCTTGGCGATGAGTGACGCCACTGAGTGTTTAAGTGTATTTTTCTCGGAGGCTGTTTGCTTTAGCTTTCTTTTAAATAAATGATCAATTGAGAGTAACCGCTCGTCCTGTTCGCCTTCCTTTTTTGTCCTCGTCTTTGTTAGCCCTTTTAAATTTTGTAAGTCATGAACCAACTCGCCCGCTTCGCCACTTTAGCCAAGGAAGGCTCTGTCGTGTCACGAGACGTGCTCGTTGGTGGTGCTTTTGCTGGAAAGATTGCCCCGTGCGTCCAGACTACCAGGTTTGAAAAACGGCAAATAAGCAGACAAGCAAATTAGTCGTTAGTTGTTTATACAGCGGGCGTTTAGTCTTCTAGAACGTTGCGACATTGTTACCCTCTGTAGACGAGCAATTTAGCTAGTGTAGTACGATTGCTTGCGCACCACGCAGTTGCGATATAAGACCGCACGCCGGTACGATGCTCATTCAGATTGAAACGGGCAGGGGTGGGGATTGAAGGCAAACTCACCGCTTTGTTCAGGGATGCACCATGGGTTACGTTTCTGCTAGAAGGAGAAGAAAGTCTCACTTTTCGCCGCTGCAGATGACGACGAAAACGGCAAAAGCGTCGGCAGGTTTATTCTTGTATTACGTGAACCACAAGTCCAATATCAAAGTAGTTTGCCTTTCGAAAGCAATTTACTGCATGCGCATCGCCCGCAAAACCTAGTAGCGGAGCAAGTAAGCAGCCGAATCGCAGCGGACTCGAGCGGACGGAGCATCTCAATATCGACAGCAGCGCCACCGCTGCCTCCTGGCCGGCTGCCCCTTTTCTCGTTCGCAGATTTCGAAAACTGCCCTTCTAGCCAAGGTACTCTAGATTCGTCCTGTCGTGTATGTTTCCTCACTTCGTCTTCGTTGGAGCACTTTTCGTCAAGTATCTTCCAAAATCTTTAATTTTTAAATTTTTTTTTATTTGTTTGCGAATTATAAAGGTCCAGGTAGGGCCCTAGCAGGTGTATAACTAATACAAATCAAAGGACATAATAAAAATCATATTATCTACATAAAAAAAGATAATTGAATAACAATTAAAAACAAATAATTCAAACCGAAGTCTGCAGTGCCTTTGAAAATTTAGCAAGGTCCTTTCATGGCATTGTGGAAAGTAATTTATATATATATATATATATATATATATATATATATATATATATATATATATATATATATATATATATATATATATATATATATATATATTGTGGAGACTCAAGAACCGACAACCGTTTCGCTGGTGTCCACACCCGTTCTAACCCGTGCTCGTCCTGAGCGCGCGCTAGCTTGACCCACCTCACGAGCCACATTTATTGTCGTCCTTTTCAATCCCCACATCATTCCCCCTCTCGGGGGGGGGGGGGGGGGGGGCGGAGAGTTTCTTCATCAGGTGGTTTTCGTTGGTCCCCTCCCCGAGCACACGCCATGATTGTGGAGTTTTTGGCAGGGGGCAGAGTGATGCCGTGATTCGAGTCACTGCACAGCCTCCGTCGACGATAGGGTTGCGTTGGGAGCTGTGCCTCGGCAAGCGATGCAAGGGTGGCCAGGACAGACGTGCTTTCCTGGTCACGACTCGTCGGTGGGGGGTGGTTGGTGAGGTCGTGGTGATGGGCGGTGGCCTCCCCAAGAGATAGCTTCTATGTGGCGAAAGATCTCTTGTATGTGAACGTAGCTCGACGGTTTAGGTATTATTTTGCTTGTGAGGCTATAGAGTTTGATGTGGTAGTTAAATTTCATCGTCGCTAAGTCTGATGTTCGCCAGTTCTGGTGGTAAGGGTAGTGTTCGGCGCAGGCGTTCGGGGCAGGCACGGCCAACAATAAGGAGGGCGGCCTCGATGTCGGCAGGTGTAAGGGCCCGTGATCCAGCTCGCACCAGCGCCCGCTGGCGGTCTTCTCGGTCGTGGTGAAGTGCTCCTTGATGATGTTGTTCGCATTAAATGAGTGGGACGCGGCAAAGTTCACAGATGTCGGCATATTCTTCCTCGTCGTAGGCGGCGGGTAGATCTGCAGCACAGCGCTCCGTCAGTGTCCGTCGCCGGAAGGGATGGGGAACGTCTTCTGGTGCAGTCCCTTGTGGCACTTGAGGTTGGTGTTCCCAGGCCATCCGGGACGCGAATGTGACCATTCGACCGGCCTCCATCACGCACCAGGTGGCAGCCTCGGCAGTGCGTGGCGGTTGCTGACGGCGGTTATGTCGCCTGGCGCGGCGCGAGTGGCCCCGTGGGTTGAATTGGGGGCGTAGGGGGGATCGGGAGCGGCTCCGAGAGCGTCGGAAGGAATGGGTGTTGCTGCGTCGAGGTGGCATGCCTGGATAGAAAATAACCATGAGCAACAATCTTTCGTGTGGCAAAAATTGACGGGGGACTGTGTTTCTTAGGACATCCCTAAAGGGTGACATGTCTAGAAACAAACGGCTTCAGATCACAAATGTTAACGGGTCCAGTTAACGACCCGTCTTCGACATGTCGTAACCTATACACCAAATGTGATACCCGTGAAACAACTTCCAAGGGACCTTCCCAACGAGGAGCTAGTGATGCCGCGAATCCCTTTGCTGCATTACTAAGCGGGTGCACGCGCCGGAGAACGCAGTCGCCTATTGAAAATTCTAGGGATCTCCTGCCTTGGTCATATTGGTTCCTCTGATCGAGCTGCGCTAACTCAATATTTTGTCGAGCCACTCGCACAGCGTCGGTGATTTTATCACGAAGTTGTTCAGCGAATCTCGCGTACGAGGTGTTTGGTCTTCGATTATCGTCGGAAAAGCTGTTCTCGAGGGGAAATCGCAGCTCGCGTCCGAAGTTTATTTGGGAAGGTGTGAACCCTGTCGTACGGTTCTCCGTAGTTCGAGTGGCGAAAGCCATTTCCGGGATGTAATTGTCCCAGTCTTTATGTCTCTCGGTGTATACCACTAGCATTGCTTTGAGGTTCCGGTTGACCCTCTCAGCTATGTTGGCTTGAGGGTGGTAAGGAGTGGTGCACTTGTGCTGGATGCCCAGTGTTGCGCAACAGTCCTCAAAAACCTTACTTGTGAAGTAGGATGCGTTGTCGGAAATTAATTGGGAACAGAACCCGAAGCGGGTGAAGGTGTCCCTCAATTTGTCCCAAATGGTCCTGGAACTCAGTTGGCGGAGAGGGTGAAGCTCCACCCACTTTGAGAAGTGGTCGGTGACTACCAGGAGATACCTGTTTCCTTTGGGGCTGCGTGGAAAGGGGCCCATTATGTCACATGAAACAATCTCCCATGGATAACGACTTTCCACTGACTGCATCAAACCAGGGGGTTTACCTCCCCTGGGTTTGGCTTGTTGGCAACGTAGGCAACTGCGTGTGTAGCGGAGAACATCCTGGCGCATCCTCGGCCAAGTGGCAACGCGACACAGTTTCTGGTAGGTTTTCTGACCGTCACTGTGGCCCGCTAGCGCACTGTCATGAAAATACCGGAGGAAAGTTTGCCTTAATGTACCACACGAAAAGGGGACGTTGTGGGGTCGGCTTCGTCTGCCTGCGGTATGTAGCGAAGGAGGAGTCCATCCTCGCTGTGTACATATGCGTCTACCGACCCATACGTCCTGTTTCCATCGGTTTGATGGGGCTGAGTCAAGCACCGAGATACCTTTTGGCACATGTCGTCTTTTTGCTGGGCTTCTCGTAGCTCGTCCCGGCTTACAGAAAGACCCCAGGAGACTTCAGCGTCAGCAACAGCGACGAGTTCCGCTGTGTCATCCGCTTTTCGGGGGGGTAGGGGTGCTCGTGACAGGGCATCTGCTGCGACATTGAACCTTCCCGGTTTGTATTCAATGGAAAAATCATATTTCTGTAAAGCCAGAGCCCAGCGGGCAAGGCGTCCAGCCCCTCTCGGGGGGGGGGGGGGGGCGTTGGGCGCCCCCCCCCCGAGAGGGGGAATGATGTGGGGATTGAAAAGGACGACAATAAAGGTGGCTCGTGAGGTGGGTCAAGCTAGCGCGCCCTAAGCTCATCGAGCATTCGCGCGCCGTAATCGGGAGGCAGAAATTCATTTTTGAACTGCTCCGAAAAGTCTTGTAGCGTCGAGAAGGGTGATTGTCTCCGACGCCATGTCGCGGCGCTTCCCGTGAGGGCGATCGGCAGTACGCGTGATAGAAGTTCAACCTCAGACATTTCAGACACCGCCTGGTATTCACGCAATTCGTCAAGAAAATCAGCAACCGATTTTCTATCTGCGTAGCCTGAATATTTCGGAATCTCGGCATGTAAACGCAATGTCCCCGTCCGAGGTGTTGGAACTAAGGGTGGTAGCGGACGGCGTTGTTCCTGCAGGAGCCGCGACATCTCCGCCAGGAACAATGCCATTTGTTCTGGCAATGGGCCCAACGCGGTGAGAGGTGCAAGCGGCACCGGTGGGGAAAGGCTCTCAGCGGGCAAAGAAACCTCCAAGTCTGCCGTAGGTATATCAGAGCCCGGTCGCGAGTCCTCCGCTCTGTCACCAGTCGCGGTAGCCCGAGCTGTGTTCGCTGCATTGGGGCGGCTACGGGATCGCGTAAGCGGGGGCGAAGTTGACATTTTAACGG